TCCTTTGAACTGGAGGCAGATTATACCATAGAGAAGGGAACATTCTTCCATTTTGTCAAAGATCTGAGCCTTAGGTCAGTATCACATTGCTTCCTTTAGGGAACTGGACCTAGACTCCAGAGGTCCTGTTGTCATCTCTAGGTTCTGTCACACTACCCATATGGAAGGATCTGCACAAAAACTCTCCAACCCTATTCACCTTATTTTTTCTAATGATGGTGCCTTGTCTTTCTTCCTTCAGGATGAATCCCATTCATCATTCTAGTACTCTTTCCTCTCAGGCTCTTTGTAGCCCTCTGATTTGTTTTCTTCCTGGTATTTCGCATAAATGCTGGATTATTGTATTTGTTGCTCTGTGTATTTGGGTTTTGTCTCTTTCAACAAAAGATACAAATGCCATGAGGGCTCAGATGCTGTGCTATCTTGCATAGTTCCTGTTGCAACAAAGAAGTATCGGAGTGTCTCCAGCACGGGAAGATAGGAGTGAACAAGCAGCTCCTGGAATAAGAGCTAGCTCAACTGTTCTGTGACACCTTTTTAAACTTCCACTTGTACATGTGTGCTCTTGTGACTTGGTTGGGGACTCTGACTTGTCCCTGTATTTTAGGCTAAGCTCCATCTTACCACAGCATCTTTTTGCCTGTCTAGATCCTTTTATTCGGTCACTTGCTGACACATGCATTCAGCATGCATTTTTTTTTAAGATTTATTTATTTATTTATTTATTATGCATACAGTGTTCTGTCTGTACATGTTCCTGCACATCAGAGGAGGGCACCAGATCTCATTAAAGACGGTTGTGAGCCACCATATGGTTTCTGGGAATTGAACTCAGGACCTTTGAAAGAGCAGCCAGTGCTCTTAACCGCTGAGCCATCTCTCCAGCCCTCTCAGCATGCATTTTTTAGGCACCCACTCTCACTTAACACTGCCCTGGGCTCTGGGGATGCCAGAATGTGCATGGTCCATGGACCCTGCCTCTGCCATGCTTACAAACTAAAAAGGATGGACAGACCCTAAGTGAATGATTGAAAAGGACTGCAGAACACCAAAGGCCAGGCTCAAGTGCTGTGAAAGTACATGGTGTAGTGCTGCCCCAGTTAGTCAGGAAAGGCTCCTGGCAGATGATGATTGACAGGTGGGGGCTGTGTTCCTGACACGCTGCCTTCTTTCCCAGGGCACTCTGGCCGTGCTGGCCCTGCACCTGGCAAGGCAGATCCACTTCCATGCATCCCTGGGAGCAGGACCTCAGCCAGCTGAATGCTACTCTTGGCAGAGTCCCCTGTACCGCTTCCTCTCCTCTTCCTGGTGGCGGCACCCACACTCCTGTGAGTTCTCGATCCTCAAGGGGCAACTGGGTCAGGCTGGGAGTTTCTCTGGGTCAGGAAGTATCTCTGGCCACACCTCAGGAAAAGAGCCATCAGCCATCACCTCCTTGCCTTTCCTCTCTGAAGTCAGAGGAAGAGGAGTGTGGGGAAGTGCTGTCCACACTGGGTGTGGGCCATGCCTGCCCCTCAGTTCTCCTCAGTGTCCTTCTATCACCTCCAAAGAGGAAGCCCCCACACCTAAGCTACTTTAGACCCTGGGTGTGGCTTCCTGCCCAATCCTCAACCATTTAGGTTCGGTCCTGCAGTCATCAGTAACCGAAAGTACTGAGTGTATATTTGGGGTTGTATGCAAAAAGCATATAACCACATGACTGAAGCTCTGCAATCAGCTTTTTAAGAATTCTAACCCCCAACTACTGCTTACTAACTACTCTTGTGTCCCTGAAGAAATCAGTTTAGTCTACTCATGACTTAGTTTCTTTATCCATAAAATGGGGTAATAATAAATGGGGCTCCTTGGGAAGACCAAATGAGTTAATATGTGTCAAAGACTTAGCACAGTGCCTAGCACATAGTATGTACTTGGTCATTATCAGTTGGAGTATTAGTTCTTGTGTTAGCATTTAAGCACAAAGTTGGGTGGTAAGGTACAATAGTGAGTGAGGTAGGCCCTCCCTGCCACTGGGAGAATTCAAGTGATTTGTACTCAGGATGGGAGGTCAGCATGAGTATGGATCCCTGGAGAGCAGTGGCTCTCAGCCTTTCTAATGCTACAACTCCTTAATACATTTCCTCATGTTGTAGAGACCCCCAGCTGTAAAATTATTTTTGTTGCTACTTCATAACTGTAATTTTGCTACTGTTTTGAATCATAATGTAAATACTGGTCTTAAGCCACCCACAGGGGTCGAGACCCACAGGTTGAGAACCGCTGCTGCTGTAGAGGAAGGCCAGCAAAGGGAGTGGAAGAGGACTGTGAGAGGGAGGTGTCTCAGGAGTTTCACAGTTCTTCCTCTGGCCTCCCAAACCTCAGGAGGATTGACTGGCAAATGCTTCCAGCTCCCAAAAAGCTGATCCCTTTCTTACCTGCCTTCTTGCTGGCTTTCTTCAGCACTTCAGAGGCATGTTCTTCCCAGACCTGACTTCCCCACTCCCACATACACTGGCCTCAGGGAACCAAGGCTGGGCCAAGAAGAACCCTCAGATCAGCCACAGTGCTGCCCTTCAGACAACTCCCTGAGAGCTGGCCTGAACCTCCCTGAAGAAGGTACAGCCTTACCTAATACCTATAGAATGGAGAGGGGGTGGATGGACCTAACACCCACAGGAGAGGGAGGGGCTGGTGGATGGACCTTTGTTGCTCTGTGTACCCAGGTAACTAGCTGTCACCCCTGTGAGGCCTTTTGCTTTTTGGGGTGACTGAGAGTTACTGGACAGGGCAGACTGGGAGGGAAAGGAAGAGAAAAGTCACATCCTTCTCCTCTCCCTAACCTCCTGGATGCCGGCCTTTCCCTTTCAGAGCCCAGTAACTTTGACTTCCTGAATGCCAGTGGGGACTTCACATCCCAGGCAAAGACAACTGAGGCCTGCCCCCCTGGAGAAAAAAATGTATGGTCCAGGTTTGGTACCTAGAATGCCCACTCCACTCTTGGGTCTGGTAGAGATCCAAGTGAACAATAACTTGATTCTGCCTTCTATTTCTTCCCCAGGAACAAGACAAGTCCAAGGCTCTTCCCCTAGAGGAGGCTGTGACTTCCATCCAGCAACTCTTTCAGCTCAGTGTTGCCATCGCTTTTAACTTCCTGGGTACCTGCTCCCCCTCCTCAAGGCAGGAGGATGAGGAAATGGGAAGGGCATGGAGTGGGTGGAATACAGTCAGAGTAGAGAGTGGTTTAGCTGGACAGTGGTGGCACACACCTTTAGTCCTAGCACTTGGTAGGCAGAGGCAGGTGGATCTCAGTGAGTTCGAGGCCAGCCTGGTCTACAAATTGAGTTCCAGAACAAACAGGACTGTTATATAAAGAAACCTTGTCTCAGGGGGAGAGGGAGAGGGAGAGGAAGAGGTTTAAACAAGAGGTTTATCTTCTCTCAGGTAGATAGACCATATGTAGCATGGGGGTTCAGTGGGGTCAAGGACCCATCCTTACTCTTACATGTTCAGCCAATCTTAAAACTAGCTCTCTAGTTTTCTGCTAGGGGAGCTTGCCCATTCCCCAGTTCATATATTCATTTATTCAGCAAGTGCTGAGCTCTCATCTTGAGTTGAGTATTAGTCATTCCAGCTCCTGCCCTCCTGTGTATATTCTTAGCAGCTTGGAGGAGAGACACAGTAAGCTAGAGGACCACTCCTTTCCTTTAAGGGCATGACCTTGAAGTTGCCCTTTGTAGAGGTACTCGAGCCACAAAGTAGACTTATGGCCATCTGTTATAGAGGAGGCTGAGAAATGTAGTCTTCCGCTGAATGGCCATGTGCTTCCTTGAAAATTCTGTCCTGTGTAAACAGTAGAAAGCTTTAGAGGACACCCAGCATTCTCTGCCTTGCTTTAAAAAGAGCAGGCTCCTGCCATTTGCAGTGGGCCCCAAGTACATAATGGGAGCGAACCCGTATCAAATCTGGAGACCCCACAAGACTTGGCCATTTGTCCTGGTTCTACAGTGACTTGGCTCTTGTCTCAAGCCATCTAAGATGGAGCCCAGGATTCCCAGCAGCATCTGCTGGGCCTAGGAGTTGGCTGGGTGAGCAGCTGGGGTTCATTCAGAGCATATTTACTGCATATTCACCTTTGCTAGCCCCTACTCTATGTCATGGAGATGTGGTGGTTCTTTACTCTGTGCACATGTGAATTGAAGGACAGTAAACAGTAAACTGACCAGGTACAGTGGCCCATGCCTTTAATCCCAGCACTTGGGAGGCAGAGGCAGGCAGATCTCTATATTAGAGTTTGGAGCCAGCCTGATCTACAGAGCTGGTTCCAGGACAGCCAGGCTACACAGAGAAACCCTGTCTGGAAAAACAAAAAAGAATTTCAGATGGTAGATATTACAAAGAAATGGAACAAGGGGTTGTTTCACTAACTTGGGCAAGGAACAACTTTTCATGTAGAAATATGCTGGAAGGGAGACCCTTAAGCTAAATCTGGCTGACAAAGGCAAGCTGCATTTGTTCCCATCTGGAGACGGCTCTCCAGCAGAGGGAGAAGCAAGAGCAAAGGTGCTGTGACAGCACTGAGTTTTCTTTGTTAAAGGACAAAAGAGAGGTGCCTAGCTGGAACTTACCCATCACAGAAAGGATAGAAGGATGAAGTCAGAGAAGAGTAGCCAGGAGCCAGCTCAGGTAGGGTCTTCTGAAACCAGGAAAAGAGTAGGGATTTCCTACGTGACACAGGAAGCCACTGGAGCAGGAAAAAGGATGGTCATGAAGTCTGACTTACTCATCCAAAGATCTGTGTGGCTATTTCCAGATCACCATGGATTGAGGAGGCCAGAAGGGAAACGTGAGACCAGGCAGGAAGACTTGGCTGAGAACTCAGCAGGATGTGATGAGGGCTTAGCCATGGCTAGGGGCAGCAGTGACCAGAGGAGTAGAGGAATTCAGGTTACTGATGCTCAGGTAGGGTCTTCTGCCCCTCAAGTCTCCTTCCCAAGGACAGAGGACTCAGTGAACCCTGGACAGTGGATTTTCAGGAGGAAGGGAAGTGAGTTTTAACTCTGCTTGCTGAATGGAATGTGGCTTTTTCCTAGTTGGCTTTTTTGTGATTTTTTTTTTTTTTTTTGAGGGCAGGCTCTTCTCAGAATCCTCTGGCCCATTCCCCCATTCATATATTCATTTATTCAGCAAGTGCTGAGCCCTGTGGCAGAGCACAAAGGCAGCACAAGCTATAATCATATTTTGCATTTATGTAGAATTTTCATCCCATGCAAAATTACTTCTTCCTTCTTGTTCTGCCTGCCTCGAGGATTTTACAGTATAATTGAGGAGACGGGGCTTATTCTTTTGTACCAGCTGTGTCCATAGACAAAGGTTTGGTATATTAGGAAAGTGCTAAAAAGAGTTTAAACCCCAAGTGTGGTCTGAAGGTTCTAGAGTAGAAACAATGGGAGGCCTGGTGATAGAGGTAGAACATGGGGTCTCAGGCAGGAGCCATTTTGAGCAAAGATAAAACTGGCAAAGGTGAGTCCTGCATGTACATTTCCTGTCTCCTTAATGCCTGAGAAAAGCAAAGGGCCTGGCTTTGGAGTTTTATGTCAGCCAGGCATTGACTGTCTTCTGCTAAGGCTCTTCCTTGCCCC